GCGGTTAACTCGCTCAACACTGGTAGTTCGGTTCAGGGCTCGAATTCCGGGAAAGGGATTAGCTGCATGTGCATTTTCGTGGTTTTTCCCATTTTAACGTGTATAAATTAGGTTTCGTACACACTTACACGTTACCCAGTTTCCCTTGAAAACTCCCTCACGAAGGCATTTTTTTTTTTTTACGCAGATAGCCTTCGAGTGTTTTGCCTTAACAAATTTAACCGAAACAAAAAACACCCTTGAATGCCAAGTAATATGGCTGATGGAAGTAATTAATGATATTAAGATAAAATAAGATGCCGGACAAGTATTAATTTAGAAGTCAAACAACAAAAATTAATTTGCGCTTTGGCAGCTGAGAATGATGGTTCGATAAAAACCATCGAAACTAGTTCTGTGAAAATTTGCAAATATAACTCTGATTTATGTTGTTTGACTACTAAATTAATTAATTATACTCTTAACCCATTACGTCCTTCTCCTATTAAAAGCTTGTATAGTAGCTATATTGCTTATATTGCTCGTATAGTAGTGTATTTCTTCTCGTATAGTAGCCGAATGAATATAATTGCTAAACACTTCACTTAGATTCGGGTTCAGGTCAAATTGAAAGGTCAAACTGCATATGTTTTCATCCTTTTTTTCCCACGTTTGAGCCATTCTTAAAAAAATAGTCCTTTCCTTAAACAGATAACGCTCACATGCTTTGCATAAATCAATCAATCTGCCACTATGTCGATTCAGATTAAACTGCTTCATCGCACTTTTAACCTACTAACTGTATTTAATTCTTAAACTGTTTACAAAATTTCCATGGAAAGCAACTATAGCAATTTTAAGCTAAGGATAAATGCACTGATTGTTTGAAACCATATATTTTTTCTTTCTGCAAAAATAATTAAATATTATTAGTGAAAACATTCTTGCTTTGATGAGGTAATGTGAAAAAATCCAAAAATATGAAAACTTAAATCTTTAAAGTAAAGCTAATCTTTGAAGAATTTTGGCTATTTTTTACATTTAGATTCGTACGTATAGAATCAATTGAAATGACTGACCCTTTCAAATGGCAAAGAAAATTAGCAGAATGACAAATAAATACTTGAGATAGAAGAAACTGTGTTCAGTTTTACCTGAAATAAAAAAATTATCTCGACTTACAACTGAAGTGTTTAAATACCTAACTAATGTGAAGGTTATCATACTCTTGCCATATTTCTTCCAACTTGTCCTTTATTCTGGCTGCACTATACAAACAGAGAAGTAGAGCTAGAAGTGGTAGACGCACCAGTACGTCTTCAAATGGCCTCTAAGTAACGCCTGTATCTACTAACCATCTTGAACACCAAACGACTGCTGTGATCCGCATTATAGAAAGAGAACAGGCGTAAGAGTGCAGGACAGCCAAACTTAATTGCTAAGTAAACATGTATAATTCTAATGCACTACTGCACCAGATAAATTAAGGGTACCAGTAGCTGAGCAGATGAAACCTCTAAACAACTAATACTTCAATCTCTTCAAACTCCGGTAGACGGCCTCGCTGCATGGGTATTTTTAGAGTCTTATAATATGAATACGAGCATTTTTCTTTAGAAAATACTCCACCAAACATCTCTCTTCTTATGATGGTAGCCTTTAATACATGCAGTCCAGCCTGGTGAGCTACTTTTAAGGAAGGAAATTCATAGTACTTATTACATTACACGAGAAAATTGTACATTTAATAGCAACAATGAGTGCACTATCTTCTTTCATGCAGGTATGTGTGTGGTGCAATTGACACAAATGTGTGAATAATTCCATTCTTATAATACATTTATCTGCGAGAACTATCGTTCCTTTGAAGGACAGTAAATTTGTATATTTTCTATATTGCCAATATGCATTTTAGGGTGTTTTCTGTTAATTGTTATATTTCGTAATTGTTACTTATTTCCACTTTCTTATTTCGTAACTTAAAATATTTTTATATACCTTTTGTTGTTCAAATTTTAAAATGGTTACTACTTGTAACAGGGAGCATTATATGAAACAATTGTTTTCATACGTTTAAACTTTTGCAACACTTAGTTCTACATAATTCATTGCGAATAGCTTCAGTTGTCACAAAATATTTTTTACTCAGCATGAGCCGATTGGTGGCATATGACATCAGTCTAGCATTCTGTAATGTATATCTACTGTTAATGACCAATTAAAGATATAAAGCTAATTTTTCTTTTCAAACAAATTTAATTGGAAGTATCATTCTTCTTTTTATAGATGTGGCATTGGAAAGGGATCATGTTTTGTAATGAAGAGGTTTAAGAAAAGTTGTTGAATATTGTTCCTTATTTTGTATTTTTGGGAAAACACAGAACACCCTTCGGTCTTGACTTGCTTGCTGTTATTATGTTTTATCTTACGTTAGCTCCTTAGTGAGGCTATCTATATGTTCATTTTGATAGAATCTTGCATGACCATAGCAATATCGATGCAGTTTTTCATATTATAAGAGGCTTGTGTGTCTAGAGGAACTATGAACTCATCTGTTGTTTGCCAACAATTGTAATTAATGTCTGTTGTATAAAATCCGCATTAATAATTGGTTGTTAACTGTGAAATATTGAAGTCAACCTTGCAAATACAAATAATCCTTTGCATGATATAAGGAGTACATTAAGTATAAGGAGTACATTAAAAATAACATTCTATAACAGCTTTAAAAATTTCTAAAACTCCGAAATTTCCCTTTTTTTATTTAATTTATATGAAATTAACGGGCTGTTAATTGGTGCAGGAATATAAACATCCGGAATCTTGCCCAGAGTCTTTAATATCACTTTGTGTTTATGCATAATTCCGCAAGTAGCCGAATGGATAACATCGCTGAACAATTATTGTTCAACCTGAATTCCAGTGAATAGGCTGGTTGCATGTTTTCCGTTGTTTCTCCGTGTGCAATATGATTACGAGTCGGTTTCACATAAAAATTCCTTTACGAAAGCATCACTCCTCTTAGACAGGTTCTTTTCGTTTGCTTTGCCATAACCAATCAGTGGGTGCTTCTGTGATAAAAAGATCTGACAGAACATTTACATTACTATTTTCGGTTTTATGTGATCAAGATATAATAATTCAGATAACTGCAGCTTGTCTTTGATTAAAGAGTCAAGTATATTTTTACTGTTCTATATTAATATTTATGTATAATGAATTTGAAATCCCTTAACGGTGAAGTTTAGGGCAAAGTATGCGTCTAGCACAATCTAAACGATGAAACGAATTTAAAACTTTCATCCTAATTATATTGGTTAGAGGAATTATTTTAAGCCGCATATTAACTCTAGCCTTGTACAGTGTTCTAAAGAGTCATTTTCTAAAAATTTAAAAATAAGAAGAATGTAACTTCTGCATGTCGTTTTAAATTTTTTTCAGTTTCAAAACAAAAGCTGTCAGTGCTCTGACAGCTTCTGTTAAGCTAAAAAACTCGGACCCTAAAGTAAGGCAAGTTAAGCTCTGGGAAAGTATTAAAGTCGAGTATCTGTTTCAAAATGTCTTCATATTTCAAAACTATGCTGCATTTGAGAGTTTACTTATTTTTCTTCATGGACTGTGTTTATTCGAAACTTCGCTGAGAAAATAAATTTATTCATGTCATCTTTATGCAATTTCTAGGCTTCCTTTTTTTCGCCCCCCCTCTCTTTTTGATAAGAAAAAAAGGTAGATCTACAATTTTTATTTCCGTTTCGAATTTTTTCCTCCCATCTTTGAAGAACTTTTATACGGTATTCATCACTCGCAGAAAAAAGACAATTAAAAGATATGCACAAATAAATACTTACTTTTCATCAGTCTAATTTACCAACTACAGTTAAATAAAAATGGGTGAGTGCTATCTGTTTTAAATTACTCTAAAAGGCACACAAGATTTTTTTCTAACAGGTAATACAAAATGCCTTTTAAGCATTGCATTTATTACACTCCACGACGAACCAAACGCTGAGTGATAAAAAACTGTGAAACTAGGTTTCCTTCTGGCTTTTTGTTCTGAGCAGTTCTGGTTACATTTTCATTGTATTCCTGAATATTCCACAGGTATAAACAGGTTTTGCTAAGAATTCCTCCAAGAACACATCCATTCTTATGAACTAGCCGTCATTTGCCTTGCCATAATTAATCACTTCGATACGTAACAACTATGAAATATTGCATAGCCAGATCAATAACTAGAACAAGAATAGACTCTTCCATAGCTAGATTTGCAAAAATCAAAATGTGAACGAGTAAAAGATTACGACAGAGCATAACAGAGCTTGCTGCCTAAAATAAGTTGAAGTAAAAAGAGTTATTAAAATTCATATATAAAAATGCGTACATATTAGCTGTAAACCCCGATATTTCTTTACATTCGAGAGCTTATTGAAGGAAAAAGTTTTAAAAAAAGAACTTTTTCATCACCAAGCAGATTTTGCAGAAGAACTTTACCATCAAGAATCAAGAAATGAAGAACTTTACCATCACAGCTAACAAATATCAGTTACAATATTCACAGGTCACAGCAGTGAAATTTTTGTTTGACGCTTTTTGTATTTCCATGTTTTAGTGGAACGGATTTCAATAATGAATGTAATCTGTAATGAGTCAAAAGTTTACGTAACTTATACCAGCTCTATTTTGTTAAATTCTTCAAACTTTGAACTAAAAATATTAATCATAGCATATTGTAGAAAACTAAATAGTAGCAATTTTTGGTGACATTCAGATATATCTGCAAATGACATTTGTCTGATAATAAACTTCGATACGTAACAACTATGAAATGTTGTTACGTATCGAAATCTTAACCGCTTCTCATTCTTTCGCGACCGTCGTAACTTAAACATTAGCAGTGATTTTTTCAGTTAATAATTATGAAATTTGTTACATATTTTTCTGCTTTATTGCATGTGTTGTACAATTTAGTTTATACTTAAAACAGTATTTTCTAATTGAAATATAAATTTTTCGTTTTGCAGGTGCCTACCATTTTTCACAGTTACTCTGGAAGAGTACTACTGAAATTGGCGTTGGTGTTGCCAGAATACCTGGTCAAAATAAGGCTTTTGTGGTCGTCAATTATAGACCCGGTGGTAATAACAACATGCCTGGTGAATTTGAAAGAAATGTTCTTCCACCACAGAAGAAGAAAATTTCAGACGACAATGCTAATTTGCGCCAAAATATTAATCGACGATGAAAAAATGTTCTTCAAACATTCAGTGTATCTTATTCTTTTCAGGAAAAAGCTGCAGGAGCAGTTGTAACCTTGGTTTTAGTTTTCCGAAAATGTGAGGTATTGTGTACCGATCGGTGATTTTATTCTGGAAGAATAGTCACAAATACTTTCAACAAATAGCATTTTGTACAGTATAAACTTCATTTATCTACCCTTCCCTATTTCTTCCCTTCACTTCTTTTTATAGCTTATTGTAGGCAGCTTTATGTGGCAAATACTCTTCAATTTTCCTAGCAAATTAATCATTACAAGGTCTGAAGATGTTATGTATAGAACTGAACTTCTTTCATTATAAAAACTATCGGAAAATGCCCGAAGAGAAAAAAAAAAGGAATTTTAATGTCAGTGAGCCATCTGTGAACAGTAACTGGTTTTTAAACAATTACATGGAAAAATTTTAATTTTGGGTGAATACGAATTAAATTTAAATCTGAATTCAAAATCTACCGACTAATTTGCAATTTTCACAAAAGTTGTTAATTTATATTTGTGTGCGAAGTAAATTGTATATGATATTTGTCTTGCAAATTTTCAAATGAAATTTTAGAATTCAAATTCTTTATTAATGAAATAGTTGAATGTGTCGCAAGGATTGTAGACATGTTAAGGAACTATTATGCGTTTAATTTCTTAGTTCTGCAATATGTGTAAAAATAACATTCATCTTCGCACTCTAATTGATACTTATCTGTATTTGTTAGAAGCTACATTTATGTAAAGTTTGTAAATGCGTGACTTTTATTGTAAAATATGTTAGATTTCAGTGCCTGCTTGTATTTTAGATGAAAAAATGCTTCCATATGTGATGAGTTTGTGAAATTTAATATTTTTAAAAAATGTATTATAGAAATAAAGTTATTTTAAACAATAATTTTTCTTTCTTTATTAAACGTGTTACCCTACCGAAAAAGTCAGATGGCAGTTCATTTCACATTTGGATTGATGACGTAAATCAACTATTAGTCTAGAATTTTAAAAATGGTTACGGTTGATAACATCGCGGATGAAAACGTCGTGGAAACAACTGCACATTTCTCCCGATACCTGTATCAGCAGTAAGATGTTCTATCAGAAAATTACGATCTTGCTGATGAGTCCGCTGTACCATATTGTTCACTTATTGCAAAGAAAAGAAAGAGCGCTAAACTTGAATAATGCTTTTATTGTGATGCGAAAATTTTAGTATAAAATCTGGAATTTTTTAACTTTATTAGATAATTTCACACTTTCGTATTGCCTACCTCTTTACAACAGATTTGGTAAAAACAGAATCAACTTTTCCATATACTGAATATTTTGTTAATCTAGTTATTTGTTTCTTCGTGTATTTTTGTTTCTTTAGATCAACTTTTAGCTTTTCGAATTAAAAAAGACAATACCGACATAAAATTTCATAAAATGCACTCGATTAGTTGAAATATTTTAACCAGTCAATGATCAACTTTTGTTTTTGAACAAAATGCGCCTCACAGTATATTGCTAAGATGGCCAAAAAATGTTTAGCAAACCAGTATATGAACATGGTTCGTTTAAAAATTTTTGATTATCTTAATGCCCTTTCCAATAGGACTTCAGCTACTTATCTCTTCTATATAATGCAGAACTACTATAGTGTGCTAATTCTATCTTAAATCGACTTTCTACAATTCGTAGATTAACATTAATTCTATTAGCAAAGCTGCAGCTTTTATGCCACTCAACTGCCTTCCATTTTGAAAATCTCCGGTACTTGATTACTGCATAGAGTTTCGAGCTATCACTACGATTTAAGCTTGAGCATTTATCCCTTAATTGTTATTTCACTGTGTCCCAATCGTGGAATTCAGATTATATATCTATTCATGTTCTTTACTAGTCTTCTGTACCAAACACAATCTTTTTCTGCACATTTACCGATTCCAACTTCTATCTGGAAAAGTACTTACTGAATAATTTTTATACAGAAACAGAAATGAAACTCTTTATTATTTCACGGCAAGCTATTAAAGCACACGTTTCTGATGTAGCGATCATACGTATCTATTGTGATGGATTATAAATACTTCGAATCATCGTTGACACTTCTATACATTTCAAAATAAGAAAAAAAATCTGTATTCTGATTCACACTTCAATTATTGAAAGAAGATAAACAATGATGCAAATATTTTTCACTTATGCCTTTAGGACTGTTATGCTCCAGAACTTATATATTGTTAGCTATGCAGTGATAGATGTTGGTATCATGAACGAGGAAACTTGTGAGTGAGAGATATTGCCACAAAACCAGCTGATTTTCTTTTGTTTCTTTACTTTTTTGAGTGCTTTGTACACATACATCCAAATATACGCCCAATTCTTTACACACACACACACACACACACACACAAAAAAAAAAAAAAAAAAAAAAAAAAAAAAAAAAAAAAAAAAAAAAAAGACTGGACTAACATTTTAATAAGAAATTAAGACTCGAGAATCCCAAACTTGAGTGATCAAAATATGAGTAGGTACCTGAATGAGAAGGTTTGTCGAATTCGCTCTTGCGGATCTGTTATTTGAGATTCGACCCTCAAAATCTGCTGAAACGTAATACCGTTGTATATAAAATGCTAGTCTCCATATCTCTCGTGCATATTTTAATTGGCATTTATAAGAAAAGATCCGCGATCTCTTTCAATTTTTACATTTTAATGCCATTTTTACTTCCTTGTACGAAGTAAAAAGGAAGTATTGTAATCGCGAAACGTTTCAGGCAGCATATTTCAACGAAAATATCCATGTTGACCTCTTTCGAATGCAATTTAACGATGTATTTCCGTGATATCTGTACGTGATATCTGTACACTCTTTTCCTCCAAAAAAATTATAAACCTGCTTTAAAATGAATTCTGAAAGGAATTTTCGTGGCGTCTGTACGAAACTATTACGTCGGTACGTACGTATCTCGCATAACTCAAAAACGAGTAGCCTCAGAATGTTGAAATTTTGAAATAGGACTGCTATAAACAGTAGATGTGCACCTCGTATTTTGGTGCAATGGCCGCACCAAACATATATAAATATATTATTATATATATTATCACTCTGTACCCGGCTCAGTGATCTCAGTTTCTTTACTCTTATATGTTTGTAAATTGTCATTTTTGCTTTAAAAATGATTGAATTATGTGTTCTTATCTTCTGGTTAAGATTTTTATGCCTTAGTAAATCTGTATGCAATATTTTTAGAATTATCAACAATTTAAAATTGTTTTAAGTGCCGCTAAGCCTAATAATTTTTTTTATGGCGGCCATTGCTCTTGTTTCATTTGAAACAACAGGAGAGGGGATGTGTTGCCTATCTAGAGAAACTTAGCTTCGCAACAACAAAGAAACGCCTTCATTTATTATTGCGAATAAATCATGCTTTAATCCTTCTGGAATTGTTCGAGGAAATAAATGTTTAAAATTTACTTCGTAATTTGAATACAGATATTTTGAGTTTTATGTATTTTTGCCTTGTCACGAAGTGAGAACTCAATTAATTGAATGGAAATATCAATCGTTCTGTGTGAAAAAACTGTTTCTTTTTTGTTGTTTGCTTAATTTCTTTATACATCGTTCTAGCTATTAAAGTATTGATAGAACATGTGGCAACGATTAGATAATTCTTTAAATGATATAAATTTGTGCATTCTGAGTTGTAATATAAGTGACAGTCATCCTAAGAATACATCAAAAAATAGGACATTATGATTTCACAATTGAACAACGCCACAAAAGGCCTCGCCTATTCACCATAATAGTCGGTGGTAATGTATTATTTTCATTTTTTCGTTAACCAGATTTTTTTTCATTTCTTTACTTATAGATTTACTTATCAAATACAAAGCGTATGGACTTTGTCCTGTCAAAGCAGGTAGACTTTGTGTGTAAAATAGTTTTTACTCTTGTGAAACGTTTCAATGTACTGCAAATTGTGTTTTCATCATTTTTACTGCCAATTGTGTACCAAAAGAATAATTTTTATGAAATTTTAAAAAATGCCTTACATACATCCTGCAAGAGATAGCGCAACAGAGCTCCAGTCAACTAAAATGCTTTGTTCACTAATAATGGCTCCACCGAGCACCTCATTGTTCAAAGTTTACTTATTCTACGGACGGCGGCACAGGAGACTTCCGTTGCTAGTAAGTCGAGCATGTGTACAGCATGTGTACAGTACTTCCATGTTATTGGATACAACTTACTCGATTCTTCAGCATTTAAAAGTCAATATCATATTTGGTAAGGCCGTTAATGGTCGATGCCCTATAAGTGATAAGACATAAACCTAGACATAGTTATAATATGAACGAATACAATATGAAGTGACCTAGGCCAGAGTTTCGCATGGAAACAAAGTGAATTTTAAAAATGCTTTATTCTGTGATTTATGCGTTGTCGGCGAGTAGGTTAATTCAATCTAATAAGTTTTAAACGAAATGCAAGAAAAACTGCGTATAATTAATATTCTGTACAAGGAAGTCATGTGGTGTACACATCAGATTTTTTTATATTCGTTCAATAGGCAACAAATTATAAGCATTTAGCATTTATTTGTTGGAAACTAAAATCAGAAAAAGTCGTTTATTCTTGTAAGAAGCTTCGATATTTTAAAGTATGCGTATTTATTTTTTGAACTATTTTATTTTTTATTACATAATTTTTAATTGATGAAAAAATTTTACTTAACTTTAATTTCACTTAATCATTAAATCTTTCTTGATTTTAACGTCATGATTTTTTAATCTTTATTTTCACATTCATGTGTTTTTAAATTTGTTTCATACACATATTTCATTATCATCATTAATACTACTTTTGTTATAATTTTAGTTATTTTAAATTATATAATTTTAGCGCTTTCGGTTGCAATACCCTATCTTATTTGCAACAATAACGTATACATTTCAGCACAAATCTGGATAATTCTTAAAAAAGACGCAGATGTATTAACTTACGAGAATCTAATAACTAGCCAAGCTACTGAAATCACAATTAAGAGTTTTTTTTTAAAACAGTGATTCAGTACGACAGAACTTTTATATTGAAATCTAAAAAACCAATAGCCCACCTTGGATATACATTCGTATAACAAATTAAATAAAATAAATTTACAGTTGCAAGCAGGTGAACTGAAATTTTATCACTACCGTTTTTGAGACTATGTTCACATTAGTTTTCTTCAAACGCAATTTTGAGCTAGGAGAACTTTCCAGTTTTTGAGTCTTTCTTCGGTGTAAAAGCCATTATCAAATATGGCTGTTATTTTTGAAATCGTATAATCAAATATGATTTCTTATCAGCGCAAACACACTCCATAATAACAAATTTCCTGCTCTCTTTGATATAAAGCTTCCTCATTGGATTTTAGACACTTTTTAAATAATGAAAAGTCAGAGTTAGCCCAATTATCAACATTTTAAGAATTAAAATTCTTAAGAAATGGTTATGAAGATGTCTGTTGCAAAGTTAGATATTTACAGTTTTATCCACAGACTATAATGCTCAGTATTATAAGCTTCGGTCAGTAGCATCTTCTATTTACTTTACCTGAATTAATTAAATGTGAATTTCAAGCAAGTACAAAGAATTTTAACTAAAACGTTTGGCTCTCGACATATTTACATGGCGCACAGACACTCTACATTTACAAACATCCATACCCTCTTCGGTATTCGGTATGGATGTTTGTAAATGCGGAACCCAGGTGCTTGGGTACGGCAATCAGCGTCGCTAATCACTGTCCTGGTTAGGCGGCATAAACTCATCTAGAAGACATTGACTTTTAGAAATTTTTCATGTTTTCTCAAGATTATATTGATCTAATGCTTCATCATTGGGAGTTGTAGCCAATTATTATCATCCGTA